GGGTGGACAACTCGTCCCATGATTCTTCCATGTGCACATCTTTCCATCCACCTTCCGATAACACGCTTTTCGGAATGCGAGATGTAAACCGCCTCGTTTTACTCTAATTGAAAGACATGACCTAGCCGCTGATTCCGCATGCGATGCGAAAGGTTGAGAAAGTCTAGGTTCAACACAATTTCTGCCCAATAGCTTCACGATAGTACCTGCATATCTTGTCTGTCTCCACATCACATCGAGATTGACCCAGGGGCTCTTGGTATCCGAGGGTGATTATTATTCAAGGCCCGAACCGTTGGATCAGCGAGCTTAATCACATTTGGGTTTCATCAGCATGCCTCCAAGAAGATGATCTGTATGGACGGGCAACCTGATGAGAAGGATTAAGCCCCTCATAGCTGGCAACTTAAGGTTTAGCGATAGGAAAGACGCGAGTGTGACCACTTCACCGTACAAAATGGAGATACTGCAGTCATGATAATAGGTTGGAGCTTTTCTTGCAATGATCACTAATTGAACCACATGACTCTATGTAAAATGAGATCAATATCAACTAGAGTTTTACTACGCGGTAAACACCCTTTTTAGCCTCCCCGTTGAGCACAAGACGTTCTTTTACGATTCGAATGGGCCAATAAAAAGGATATTAGCAAAGTACAACCAAGGTATCTGCACCAATACGTACTTACACACTTATTCTCTGAAACTACAATCATTGGACAATAGCCGTAGGCGTAGTGAGGATGCTTTCGTGGCTGCAGACAACCTACACATTGCTACCACATCACCACATGAATCGATGTCATACCCAGCAACCGCAAAAGAAAATAGCTTGCAAGTTTCAAATGACAAGATCAGTAATCTGAGCCTGTTTCACGCATGAAATCAAGAGAAGAAATGACGGATTCGTCGTTCATATTAGCATTCCAGCCAAGTACTTTTAGTTGCATAGTGTTGCTAGTCAGGCACTTCTATCAGTACCGGCCCTATTGCCAGGCAAACAATGTCACAGCAAAGAATACATAGCCTTCTCAAAGGTGTGCACAAGCCCCTCTTCGATAGGAGTGCTGTATGGGGAAGTCTGGAATGCCACGATGGTGCACAGTCCCGCGGCAGGGTCGATTTGCTGTTCCGTAGATGTAAGCCTTCCAACCCCATCCGCACGAAAGGAAGCGCAGTACTTACCAATCCAACGTTCCATCCGCAGTTGATGGACATAGACCCCTTACGGCGCCATTTGTCTCCATCCAGATCCTGCATGATCACAATAGCTCCGAACCCGAAGTTGCGGCGCAGGCTCGGCCACTGTGGCAGCGGATAACCATAGTTGATAAACCGGATGACCTTGTTGAAGTGCTCATTCATCCCGCGCTCCATCGTCTCATTCAGGGCAGGCTGGAACATCTGGTCAACTGTCTCGGGCTTCAGTAGAACGCCGTCGCGCTTCAGAAGGGAGTGCATCAGGGTCATGAAGGCGGCCGGGCTGGCGAACATGCCCGAGCCAGCGTAACACTCCTCCGGGAACTTGCGGAAGAAGATGGTGTCGTCGTAGTGCAGCTTGCCGTCCTCGGGGCTGCGCTTCGTCAGGTCCGCCCGCCGCGCGAGCAGGTCGGGCCGCTGGTGAAGCTTGAAGGTGATGTCGGTAATGCCCAGCGGCGCGCAGATATTTTGCTGCATGTAGCTCTCCAGGTCCATTCCCGTTGCTCGCTCGACCAGCTTACCGGCCCAGTCGATGTTGGTGCCGTGGACCCACTCGGCGCCCGGGTCGCCGACGGGGGGCGCGGCCAACGGGTCGGGAATGTCGGTCTCACCACCGATAGGCAACGGGTACGTCGAGTAGCCCTTGGCGCAGTATTCGCGCAGAAGAGGACTGATAGGCACGTGTGAGATGCCCGAGGTGTCCGTGAGCATGTGCCTTTTTGATCGCAAGAAGTCAGTGATGGCCGGGCGATGAGTATCGGTCATGGAGAAATTAACCTGAGAGTGATGATTCCATTGCGGTCCCTCATGATGGGCTTGCCCTCGGCATCAAAGCCAGCCAAGACCTTCATGCTGGTTAGGTCGGGGAGGTACCTCTCCACGGTCTCGTCTAAGTCAATGAGACCGCGCTCGACGCACTGCAGGGCCATGACCGTGCCGACTAGCACGCTTGCCTGGCCCATTCTCATGATTGTGTCTGATTGCATCGGAGGCAACGTCCCGTTCTCGTCTGGTCGGACGGACCTAGATCCAAAAGAGCGAACATAGTCAATTTTGCCTGAAGAGCAACGACTCGAATGTCAGTTAACTTGCCATGGTCTTGACTGCTGTTCACGAGTCGGGTTTGATAATGGTTTGATAATTTCGCTAAGTGAATACATGTATGGGGAGCCTACCGGTCACGTCTTTCGCAATCACCACGGCACCCGGAATCTGGCCCGATTCTACACTCGACTTGAAGGCCGATTCCATTTCTGAGACCATGTTGCCGCTTGTAGTTGCGGCAACTGCCTGGTCTGCGGGAAGGGTTGTTGCGGAAGCCATTCTGAAAACAGGTCGCAGCAGTTCCTTGCTTCTACTCGGTCAATGTGAACAGCTTTAGGATGACAATGTCGAGTTGAGGTGTGTGCGCGACGGGTAAAGAGCTGCGGGTTGAGGCAATCGACTCCCAAGCAATGCTAGTTGCTTTGACACTCTTATGCCGGGGGACTCGCAATACGTCGTAAACCTCGCTCCACAGATCTACGACTTCATTGAGCCTCTGACCGCACTTTCCGAGCCAAGGTTGCTGCCCGTCCCGAGATGCCCACCGTCTCCATGCCAATCTGTAGCAAATGAGGGCTTTGAACTCATGTAGATAGTAGTGAGTCAAGTCCCTTGCACGTGCTTGTAAATGCCTCTGTAACCCAGTGCGAACCAAATGTCACAACTCAGTTGTACGGTTCCTCATACAGACCCAACGATACCCCTGATGTTTTTGGTTGTGGACTCACGAAAGCGAGGCTCTTGCACGTGCTTACACAGTGGCTGTCATTTGAACGAGTCAATCACAGAGACAGCTGTTGTACCGGTACATCTTTCGGTTTGTATGGGCCCTAGAGAGACTAGGTACAAGGGACCCTCCGCATTTGAAGATCTGCAGTCGCTCCCCCCGTTGAGGGGCTCTTGGGGTATTGAATTTCTACCGACTATTTGTCCGTGCCTTGGTGCCCCGCGAGGCAGTTCCTAATTTTTTCATATCGAGGAATATACTCCCGAAGAACTTACTAGATATTTTAGGCATGTACAAGTTGCTATGATGAGAGGTTATTTGCGAGACTGCAGGTATCAACGTTTTAAGGCTTGCGGTCTTAACAGGAAAACATATCCCGCGAAGTAAGCCGAGAGGTTGACCTGCGTGAATTATGTAATTACTTCATTCTTTCTCAATGCAGTTTGGGTATCGCGGAATTCCATGATAAAGACTTACAAGTTATGGCCATGGAGCCCCTGACTCACTGTACATCAGTACCTTGAACACACGGGGCCGGGGTCTCGGTCTCCGAGAAGACCGGGAAGAAAATACAAAGAAGTCGGCCAGCCTTGATAGATGCCACTCACCGTGTGTCTTACGACTAGTGTACCTCAGCGTCGTTTTTTGTTTCCTTCCCCGTAACATTGCTTGGTGTTTTCACGCAATTCATCACAAAATGGGCCAAGGTCACTCGAGGCCCAAGCCGGGCACAAAGTTCCGTGTTATTGGTGCAGGCATGTACGTATTTCATCATCATTATCAATCTCAAAGACCCTATGGCCATAAATGATTGCAAAAAAGCTAAACATGTGAGTTTGATCATATCCTAGGTCCCGAACCGGCACCAAGACCTTTGCACAAGCCCTAGAGACTCTCATCGGCCCTGTTCATGACGGCGGCGCTGAGGGCCTCGTGGGCACCGCGGAGGTGCGGAAGCGGTGGCTCGAGGTCATGGAGTTAGCGACCAAGAAGGATAAGACGCTGCCCGAGAAGAAGCGCCTGGAATGGCTGCTTGCCGAACTCATGGAGGGGTACTCCGCGGTAGGTCACCGCAAACTTGAGGCAAACCACAACTTGACAAGAACAATTCTTGCTGACCATTCCCCGGGGGCCAAAAGACCGTTGATGCTCCGTGCATCTGGCTCGTTCCGGAGCTTCTAGAGCTGTATCCAGATGCCGTCATAATCGCAACCACCCGAGACAAAGAGTCTTGGTGGAAGAGCGCGGAAACGATCTCCAGTCTTGTCGATTGGCCGTGGCTGCCCTTCTTCGCTCGGCCGCTTCCTGTGCTAAACTCATTCGTCACGTATGTGCTCTGTCTTGGCAACAACCGAACCTTACTGACTCTTTCGGACAAGATGGGGCCCGCTCGTCGAGAAAACGTGCGTCTCCCGCCTGGGTTTCAAGGGTTTCCAGTGCGCCGAGGTGTTGGAAACGCACGAAGCGTTCTTGCGCAGGGTTGTGCCGCCGGAGAAGCTCTTCTTCTACCGAGTTCGTGACGGCTGGGGCCCACTGTGCGAGATGCTCAAGCTGCCGGTGCCGGCGCAGCCGTTCCCGCATAACAACAAGCCCGAGGACGTGAAGATGGTTGGCCGCATCGTGGTCGCAGTCGGATCGGTGGCGTGGGGAGTTGTCCTCGGGGGTGCGTTTACATGCACCTGGGTTGCCTGGAGATTGGGGTCGACGCTGCTGAGCAAAATGGGGAACGGAGGGTTCTTGAAGTTGCTTGATACAATCCGATGACCGCCGACCACTGCTCTAGCTTCTAGAAAAGATTTCATATTGGCTATTGAACTTGTTGAAACATGCATCCATGGATACTACAAACTGCTCCTTGCCACATTCAAACGATTACTCTCATTGATTCAAGACTAAAATACCGTTGAAAATTGCCAGACTTCATCAGTGACACATTTCAGGACAAGGGAACCAAGTTAAAAGCCGACAAAAATACACTATTATCTAAACAAGCTTCCTTCCCGCTAATCTTGCTTCATTGGGCTGTTCACTAAGTTGAAGAGCTTTTCTTTCCAAGCACAAACCTGACACCCCTGTCCAGTGACTCCGCCAAGCGATGCGCCCGGGTAGGAGCAATAGCGTCATGATGGTCCCCCTCAACAGCCAAGCACACCATATTCTTGCCTACCTCGCCGTTCTCACCGGCACCTACATACTTGTCCCAGCCACCAGGGCCCAGGTCCGTTTCGGACTTTTTGTCCGGCAGGCTCCACGCCACTGCGCCCAGCTTCGGGTTCTCCATGAACCCCGGATACGACTCAACAGGGTAGCTCATGTCGGCGAGCTTGGCGACGAGCTCAGGCCGGCGCCGCCTGAGACGGCTCACCATGCCTCCCTTGCACCAGACGACGGCGGCGGGAATGCGAAGAACTGATCCGGCGTCTGCTAGGGACGGCGGGTGGTAATCCAGAACGCACGTGAACATGGCGCGCAGGTGCTCCGTGATGTCGAAGCCCGGGGTATTACCGATGAAGTGCTCTCCCGAGGTGGTGAAGAAGACGGGCCAAGTCTCCTCGTCCGACCAGGCTGCTGCTGATGGCGGCGGCGGCGGGAGAGGACAGCGCATGTCCAGTATCACGATGCCGGCCACGCGCCGCCCTTGTGCCAGGAGTTGGCGGCACATTTCATAGCAGAACAGAGACCCACCGGAGAAGCCGCTGATAACAATGGTGTCCTCTTCGGCTTCGGAGAGGCCAGCATTGGGCTGAGTCTCGATGAGAGCTTCCACCATGATCTTGGCAACGCCGACAATGCCAACCTGTGTCGTCATCCGTGACGGGCAGCGCAGGAAGGGTGAGTCGATGCCGTAGACAGGTAGGGGAAATTGGCGGCGGAGCAGATGGATGTAGGTGGCGATGCTACCACCGCCATCACAGACCAAGTACAGGCGCCCCTTGCCAGCCTGTGGTCGTCCTTGCAGCATGGTAATTCGGGCTTTTGGAAGAGGCTCATCGCTGGTGGTCTTTTCATCAACTACCGACGAAGATGACGACGACTCCGGGGTGCGCTCGGCTACAGGTGTCCCTCCGGAGGCCGTGGAATCACCAGTTTGAACAGAAGGTGTGGATACCGTTGTGTTCTGTTGTTCCATCTGTTGTTCTTTCTGGTTTGGTGTCTCCTTCTCTTGTCTCTGTGGTTGTTCTTGTGGCTTTGGTGTACCAAACGACTGGACAAGGTGACCTATCGTCGGATACTCCAACATGAACAGTGGAGACAGTGGATAATCCGACTTCTCCTTAACCCGGGTACAGATCTCCACGGCCATGATGGAGTCCACGCCCAGGTCAGCCAGCGCGGCATCATCAGTCAGCTCCGTCGTGTCTAAGCCTGTCTCTTCAGCAATGCTCTCGAGGATGACTGAGAGCAAGCCGACCTTGGCCTGGCTAGGGGCTTGTTGGCTGCTATCATCGGCGAAGGCTTGGTCTTGATCCGGCAATACAGAGAGCGGCTTGGCCCTCGTCTCATTCTCCGTCTTGGCCACTATCATGTCGGAAGCCTTTGCCGGTGGAAGCGTCTGCCCTACATTCGCGACGCCTCCACCAGCCTTTTCTGGTCGGCCCTGGTCTTGATGCTGCCTGCCACCCGACCCAGGCGCCAGATTTTGCAATAAAGCCGCGTTGGGCACCTCGTGGAACCTCATCCGCCAGGTCCTCATGACCAGCCTGTCAGCATCGTCAAAAACAACGACCTCGCAGACGGCCGAGTCAGCTTTCCTCTCAGAGACACGCGCGTATGTCCAGTACGACCGACCAGGCTCAATCTTCGCCATCTGCTCGAACCGTTCGAGGCTATCCATGATGTAGCTCGAGCTCGCGCCCGTCCGAGAGGAGACCCGGCTAGGATGACAGTTGACCAAGAAACCGGCTAGATGTGCCAGCGCTTCGCCGCAGTAAGGGGATCCCGCCACAAAAGTCACGTCAGCGGGGTCGCGGACAGGTACAACTTCGGCCACCGCCTCCGAAAAGTCGTCCGAGACGAACGCCTCCCTGATGCAACGGTAATTGTCAGACGCGTACTGGACGGCACGCGAGAAAAGAGCGTAGAAGATGCTCGCTGGCAGTCTGCTGCTGCAAGACCGCTGCACCTCAAGCATTCTCGCCCTGATATAGAAGGAGTCCGACTCAGCGTTGGGCTGAATGCCGTTGTGGACTACGACGTCGCAGCGGCCCAGGTCGAACGAGCGTGCTGACGACCGAGACAGCGCCTTGAACGAAACTTGGACAACACCCTCCGACTCGATGACAGCTGTGGCGTGAAGCTCACCATCCGGACCAACGATGCTGGCCGTGAGCGGACGTTGCAGATTGGCTTTCTGGAGACTGAAGCGTTCCATGATGTTGAAGTTATCGTCCATCTTCCTGCCGTTGCGGTGCTCAAGCGCGCACTTGGCTGCGACAAAGGCGGCCTCGCTGAAGACGGAGCCGGGGCAGAGACCTACGCCTTGCATACGGTGACCTTCCATCATGGCAAGGAGTCCTGGGATTGCAATCGAAGCGCCGACGGTGACGCGGGTCTTGCCATCCTTGTCTTTGGTCTTGTCCACGATGTACTGCGCACAAGTGGATATGATGGGCTGTTGGCGAGCTAGATGTCCCGGAGCACCATCATCACGAGCAGCAGGCCCATCTACCAACTTTTTCTCCTTGTAGGCAATCCAAAAGTCCTTGGTATCCCAGGAATACGAGGGCAATGTGAGTAGCTGGAGGTTCTTCTCAAATGGCGCGTGGAGCAGGAGCCAGTCCGGATCGCAACCGTTCACGTACAGGCTGGCCAGACACTCCGAGATACCCACCCAAGGACTCGAGCCGGCAGCCTTCAGCGTCGATACGACATGGCCAGTCGGCGGCGAGATAGTCTCCTGAACAAATGCGCCGCACACCTGGCTTGGCCCGATCTCGAGCCAAACCGGGTTACTGTCCTTGAACTTAGCCTGGACGGCATGGAGCGCGCCGACAAAGTCGACGGGGTTTCGAGCTTGCTTGGCAAGGTATTCAGGACCGAACTGGAGACTTCCTGCGGCAGCATTCTCGTCCACAATAGAGGCTAGTAGCGTCGAGGCTACGGGCACCTTTGGCGGCAGGGAGTATGTGATGCCAGGACCAGATGCGAGCGCCACGAAGTAGTCCAGGATAGCGTCGACCTGAAATGAGTGGAAACCGAAAGGCAGCGGAAGTACCTTTGAGCGCGTCTTCTGCTTCATGAGCGCTCCCTGGAGTCGTGCGACGGCGTCGACTGTCCCGCTCACAACCGACGCGCTGGGACTGTTGAGGCAAGCAACTGAGCACTTGTCGGCATCAAGGCCCAGATCCCTGAGCAGATCTTGCACGGTGTCTGCGGGTGCCGCAATAGCGAGCATGGCGCAGACACCTTGGCTGTTACACTTTTGCATGGCCAACGCGGCGCGAGAACCGACGAGGTAGAGGGCGTCAGCGAGTGAGAGCACGCCGGCCACATGCAGGGCAGCATACTCGCCCAAGGAGTGCCCCATCACAAGATCCGGCTCGACTCCCAAGCGCCGCCAGAAGGTAGCGAGACCGATTTCCAGCGCCAGCACGGCGAGCTGCGTCTGCGCCGTACTCCAAGCCCCACTTCCGATCCCGGCTCCGGCCCGTGCCCCGCTTCCAGCTCCGGTGATGATGTCCAAGAAAGGTGGGAATCCGAATCCGCTGCGGATGTGCTGGCAAAGGTCCACAGTGTCCCTAAAGACTGTGCTAGTCCGATAAAGCTCGGCGCCCATGCCGGCATAGTGTGAGCCCTGGCCGGTGAAGACGAAGATTACGGGCGATGTCTTGGTTGTGGTCGGCTTGGAGTCAGACTCCAGTGCCTGGACAAGCTCTTTTGTAGAAGATGCGACACAGGAAAAGCGGAAAGAAGCCTGGTGGACCCTTCGGGCCGTGGTCGTGTATGCAACGTCCTCGATACGGACGGATGGGTTCGCAGCAAGCCATCTTGCCAGGCGGGATTTGTTGGCTTGATGCGACGCGGCCGTGTGTGCCGAGAGCACAACAACGTGTGCTGATCGCGGGTCAATTTCAGTGCTAGAAGTTACGGCCTTTGTGTCCGGGCCTTGAAAATCTTCCACCACCAAGGCTGTGTTCCCGCCCGCAGCGTCGAAGTTGTTGACCAGAATACGCCTTCTCTTCCCGCTCTCAGGACGGAACGGGGCGGCCTTGCTCAGAATTCTGATCTTATTATGCTCCAATGATGGGAACTGCTTGTTGAGGGCGTGCGGCATATCAGCCTGTGGCGGCAGCATCTGTTTCTGGAACATGAGGATGGCCTTGATCACCGAAGCAACTCCAGAGGACGCTTCGCTGTGACCGATGTTCGCTTTCACAGATCCAACCGTCAGGGGCTGGTCTGCATCTTCGCCGTCGGCCTCCTCCTTACCCCCGGCCGGCGTCCTGCGTCTCCGGCCCAACACATTCGCGACGGCTGTCATCTCACATGGGTCGCCAACAGGAGTCGCAGTACCATGCATTTCAGCGTACGCAATATCCCGCGGGCTGAGACGCGCCTGTCGCAGCGTCTGGCGCAGCACGCGTTCCTCGGCCCCTGAATCTGACTGAGTGAGGAAGGCCGAGTTGCCAGCTTGGTTGCGCGCTGAGCCGGGGATGACGGAGAGGATACGATCATTGTGGGCGATGGCGTCAGCAAGACGCTTCAGCACCACGACACCTACAAACTCTCCGCGGCAGTACCCCTGAGCATCATCCCGGAAGGTCCGGCAGTTGCCTGTGTCCGAAAGCACACCTGCCTTGCTCAGCAGACACCATCCATGTGGTGAGGCCAGCACGTTGGCGGCACCGGCAACCACCATATCGTGGTCGCCCGCCAGCAGACCCCGGCAGGCTAGGTGGATGAGCGAGAGTGAGGTCGAGCAGGCCTGGTCGATGGAATATGTCGCGCCCTCCCAACCGTAGTGGAAGGCGACACGGCCACCTGCAAAGGGTCTCGCGAGGGCTTGTAGTGTGTATGCGTCGCAGCCTTTCTCATGGTGCGCCGTCTCGTACCCGTCCACGTTGCTCTGGCCGAAGAGGACGGAGATGCGACTCGGATCCACGGCCTTTGTTTTGCCGCATGAATAGCCTGCCGACTCCAGCGCCTCATGGCACGCCATCTGGAATAGCCGGCTACCTGGGTCCATGATGAGAGCCTCGCGTGGTGACACGCGGAAGAACCGCGAATCGTAGTGTCCCGGCTTGTCGAGGAAGCATCCCATCTTGCACGTTGACACACAGTTGGGGCTCTGCTTGGTTTGGAAAAGCTTGTCAGCGTCGAACCGTCCTTGGGGGATCTCACGCGCGATATCGCGACCGGATTCGATGATGTTCCAGTATTCCTCCAGGTCGTCGCACTCGGGGGCACGTCCGGCCATGCCCACCACGGCAATACGCCCTTCGTAGCTGTCTACAGCTTCCTGCGATCTCGATTCATGATTCTCGCTCCCGAGTTCGGTGTGCTGTGCGACCGAGACCCGTCTGCCTGTTGCCTTGAGTTTGCTGGTGAGAGAGCCGGCGAACCACGTCGGACCTATTATCGAGAGTTGCACGCCTTGGCAAGACTCTGCGCCGAGATGGCTGTTCAACCTTTTCACCATGTCCACCAAGTCAACCGGTCTTGAAAAGGCATAGTCTGCCACGCTCAGAAGCAGCTGACCCCAATTTGCGTAGGTGGGAAGAACGGTATCGTCGTCTTCATCGGAAACCCGAAGGCCCCAAAGTTGAGATCCCGGATAAATAGACTTGGAATGGAGGGCTGAGTTTCCGGCAATGTACTCGCGATGTGATTGTGAAAGCTCGTGGTTGTGCTGCATCGAGTAGATAGGAAGCCTCTGCGTGGCGACATCTCCCAGTCTAGAGTCCTTTAAACACGCGTCGAGCACCGAGGGAGGGCCGACAACGGTGCCCCAGTGGTCGCCTCGGATGCCCACCCGCGCTCTCTTCAGGCTTGGGACTTTGCTGCTCTCCTGGATCTGGTGAAGGATGCCGTCCAGCTTCTCGGGCGTGATGCCCACGACGGCACAGCCCCATGAGGAGGAGCTGCCGCTGCCGCCGTCTTCCACAGCTCGTGAGACCTGCCCGGCAACCTCGCACAGGCGACATACGAACCCAGCAGTGACGACGCTGGCTTCACGGAGCGACTCGAAGTCGTCTGATATGACCAGGACCGCGGCGTTGATCAGACCTCCTGAGATGCCCAGCCCCTCGGGTCTGGGATTCGCTTTCAAGGCGTCTGGTGAATCATGGACCCATCTGAGTCACAGAATTAGCACCTTGATCTGTATGCACCTTGGATCGGATCGGATCGCATCTATCGTACGCACCTTAAAAGAATAACAGCCCGCACAATGTATGACATGATACACTGCACAAACCCAACATCGTCATCATGATCGCGATATAAGTCCGCGACTTCCTGAACACTGGAAAAGATACCACTAGGCCCCAGACTGTTCCGGATCTTGGGGTGCATATGCCGCGTCTCCGCCCGGACGGCCGACGCCACGTCGTCTAAGAACAGCCGGAGCCAGGCGCATTTGCCGGCCTGCTCATGGATGCGGTCGATCGACTCGAGCCACGGCTCCGTGTAGCCTCCGAAGAGGAGGATCGTTGGTGTTGGCGTTACCACCGTCATTGTGTGCTCAGGAAGGTGGTGTTCTTGCTCTGAGCCTCGTGTTGAATGTCTCCCTCAGCAAGACGGGCTAAACTCTGATACCATTCAAGAGTTGTTGATGTTGTTGGTGGAAGTGGGCGGGCGGTCAAGGTCGAAGCTCGTCTGCACGTGTTGCTCGTCGTGAAACCACCCCTGATCAGCACGAGGACGTTTTGCGAGTCCAAGACGTGCGAAGTCGTGATAACTGACAGTCGGGCTTTTCGGAACTCCGAAGTTTTCTTAACAAAAGAATAGATTAATATGTGAGTCGTATCATTTCAACCATGATATTCAGGTTCACGTAAGACCCGCTTACGTTCTACGGTATCGAATAGCCCCATAATCGGCTCACGACGTTCATGGGTTCATATCAGTCTGCAGAACAAGACCGGCAGGTTGACGACGCAATCGTAGCTTAATTGCCTATCACTTTTCACAAGAAACAGGTTCCACATAACCACTGACTCTGACGGGCGTATCGTTACCGCTTGTGAGCAGAGAGCATCTTGAGTTGCAAAACTAGCGCAGGACCCAATTTCGATGGAACCCACACGTGTTAGCTACGGCCAATTACCAGCACAGTATTACCCTATGCGTAGGGCGTAGTCGCAAGCAGATTGCAACCCCCCAACTCTAGTGTACTGCGTACGTAGGGAGGAGAGCCAAGCACTCGGACTGGACCCGTTGCCGGCCCGAGCAGCCGAGTCAGGCACGCAGAACTTCTACTGCTCTAGGCCCGTGTGCTTGCCGTATAGTACGCCCGCGGTCAGAAAGTCCGGGGTGCATTGCTCGGCGGAACAGACCCCATTCGCCACGGACAGGCCGTTCGAAGGTTGCCCTGGTCGATATGGGGTTGGCTGCACTCACACTGTGGAATGTATGTGTACTTACACAACTTCGAACCATGGGCCCTAGGAGAAAGAACAATCAACATCCACTTTCACTAACCCCTCCTACCCGCAGTACTACCCCGTACAAACGCACTGTTGATCGTCCGAAACTCTATGTCGACCAGTTGCGAGAAAGAGAATTCTGCCGATTGATTGCCCGTGCCCTGTAGCTGCTCTTCACCGAAGGTGGGAGTTCGTCGGACCCCGAGAAGGATAAAACCTCTCCCGCCGGAACATCAACAACGGTCGTCCCGAAGGTGGATAGCTGCCGGTTGCTACTTCGCAGATCCCTCTCCCGAAACGGCGTGGTCTCTTGCCCCGTGCAAGTCGTCTACAATCTAAGTGGCCATGCTAACTCGGTGAGCCCCTCGGAATATAATCTCAGGATCGTGGGGTCTGGAAGTTTGAGTATGAATCATGTTCGATGATAGAATGTGAGATTCCTGAAAGTCATCGTGGAACTTGGGGTATGGGACCCTCTCTGCTTCTGCTACGCACGTATGCAGCTCTGGTCGCAGGGTCTAGCCTCAGGATACCTGGCCGAGTTCATGTTGACATTATTCGCTCAAGATAGTCGGTCATCGCGAGTGGGCATCGGGGGCCCTTTAGAATGCGTTGCCAGTTGCCGTGATAAGTGCTGCTGGTGCCCATCGACGTTCGTAAATCCAGGTAGCTTGAGAGAGTTGTTCGCGGTAGCCTCATCAAGACCAATATACCATTTGACTTTTCAGAGTTCTTGTTTTCGTTTTCATCATGGGGTCTCACAACGTTCGTCGGGATAACATCCCAATTGCTGTAGTTGGCCTAGCTTGCCGCCTTCCCGGCGATGCCACCAGCGCGACAGAATATTGGAACATGTTGAAGGAGGGGAGAGGTTAGTAAAGCTGACACAAGTGGCGCCTGCGAACAGAACATTGCAAACAACCGGCCAGCAGACAGAAAGACAGACCACTGACACACATCACCAACCTGCAGATGGTTACTCAGCCGAGACAAACCGCTACAACACATCGGCCTTCTACCACGCCAACCCCAAAGACAGGCAAAACGTGCTGCCGACCAAGGGCGGGCACTTCATCAAGGAGGACCCCTACGCCTTCGACTCGTCCTTCTTCAAGTTCTCCGCCGCCGAGGCCGCCGTCCTCGACCCCAAGCAGCGCATCCTGCTCGAGGTGACGTACGAGGCCCTCGAGAACGCCGGCCTGCCGCCGCCGCGCGTGGCCGGCACGCGGACCGCGTGCATCATCGGCACGGCGTGGAGCGACTACCGCGACGCCCTCGTGCGCGACTTCGAGCAGTGGCCGCGCCTGTACCTGATGGGCGTCAGCGATGAGATGGTCAGCAACCGCCTGTCGCACTTTTTCGACCTGCGCGGGCCGAGTTTGACGGTCGAGACGGCGTGTTCATCTAGTCTTGTGGCTATTCACCAGGCGTGCGAGAGTCTGCGGTCTGGCCAGGCAGAGGTATGTTCATGAATCTCTATCAAACGTCTTATTAGTTGTCTTGTGTAACTCACATTATGTGCGTAGATGGCCGTCGCAGGCGGAATCAACATGATCCTCGGCCCTGAGGCAACCATGGAACTCAACAGTCTGGGCGTGCTCAACCCAGACGGCCGCTCGCTCTCCTTCGACGAGGGCGCAAACGGCTACGGCCGCGCCGAGGGCTGCGGCATCGTCATCCTCAAGCCGCTGGACCAGGCCGTCCGCGACGGCGACCACATCCGCGCCGTGATCCGCGGCAGCGGCGTCAACTCGGACGGCTGGACCAAGACCATCTCGACGCCGTCCGCCTCCGCACAAGCCGAGCTCATTAAGCTGGTCTACGAGTCCAACGGGCTCGACTACGACGCGACGCAGTACGTCGAGGCCCACGGGACGGGCACCAAGGTCGGCGACCCGATCGAGCTGGGCGCGATCCACGAGACGATCGGCCGCAATGCGAGCGAGTCCCGCAAGCTGTATGTGGGCAGCGTGAAGGCCAATATCGGACATCTTGAGCCGGCCGCTAGTGTGGCAGGCTTCCTCAAGGGTGTTTTGACGCTGGAGCACGGCAAGATCCCGCCCAACGTCCACTTTCACAAGGCTAACCCGAGGATACCATTTGATAAATGGAATATGGTGGTCCCAACGTCGCTGACCCCTTGGCCCGAGGCCGAGACAAAACGCATGAGTGTCAGCAGTTTCGGCATGGGCGGAACCAATGCCCACGTCGTCCTCGAGGAGTTCAAGAAGACCCCAAAGCAACTAATGAATGGGTTTCACAGCAATGGTGATGCGACCCTTAAAGACGCCGTTGTTGATAAGAAGAGACTCTTCGTCTTCAGCAGTCACGACCAGGCAGGTATCAAGCGAGTCTCAACTACATTGGCCCAGCATCTCGACAAGGTTCGTGGTGAAAACCCAACCTGGACGCCCGAAAAGGGCGAGCCCGAGTACCTGGCCAATTTCGCGCACACACTCGCCACCGCGCGCTCCAGTCTGGGATGGAAAGCCAGTTGCCTGGCAAGCAGCTTCTCACAACTGCAGGCCCAGCTGGCCGCCGCGCCTTCAGAGGAGATCTGGAAGATCTCGCGCGCCTCATCCGATCCAAAGCCGTTGCGCGTGGGCTTCGTCTTCACCGGCCAGGGCGCGCAATGGGCCGGCATGGGCATCGAGCTCCTCTCGCGCCCCGTGTTCCGGGCCTCAGTCGCCCGGTCGGCCGCCATCCTCGAGAGCCTCGGCTGCACCTGGGATCCCGTGGCCGAGCTGTCGAAGACGGGCAAGGAGTCCCGGCTCGGCCAGCCCGAGATCAGCCAGCCCATCTGCAGCGTCCTTCAGATCGCCCTCGTTGACGAGATCCGGTCGTGGGGCTCCCCGGTCCTCAGCAGGCCGGCCAAGGTCGTCGGCCACTCGAGCGGAGAGATCGCGGCGGCTTACTGCATGGGGGCTCTGACGCACCGGGACGCGCTTGTTGTGGCTTACTCCCGCGGCACGGCTTCGGCTCTACTGCCGACGGTTGCGCCCCATCTCAACGGCGCTATGATGGCAGCGGGATGCTCCCGCGAGACGGCTGAGGTCCTCATCGAGAAGCTCGGACTGTCTGGACAAGTCGGCGTCGGTTGCGTCAACTCCCCGTCCAGCATCACACTCTCCGGAGACTCGGCTGCGATGGACACGATAGCCGCCGCGTTGGATGAGCAAAAGACATTTTGCCGGCGGCTCAAGGTCCAGGTGGCCTACCACTCTTCCCACGTCGCAACTGTATCCGGTGAATACTACCAGGCCATGGCCTCCGAAGGCGTCGAGCCCATCGCTGTCACTACAGACGAGGGAGCTCCTCGTATGATCTCGAGTGTGGTAGGCGACGAAGTGTCCTCGGAGCAGCTGGGCCCCTTCTACTGGCTGCAGAACTTCACCTCGCCGGTATTATTCTCCGACGCTCTGAAGAAGCTGGTGCTGCCGGAGACCGAGACCGAGAACGAGAACGAGCCTGACGTCGACTTACTCCTTGAGATCGGGCCCCACAGCACCCTGGGCGGGCCCATCGAGCAGATCCTCTCGCACCACGGCGTGAAGAGCGGCGCCGTGGCCTACCAGGCGGTCCTCCGCCGCGGCGCCGACGCCGCCGAGACTAGCCTGCGGATGGCTGAGCAGCTGTTCCACCTCGGTATTCCGCTGGACCTGGCCAAGGTCAACGGCGACGATTCGCCGGCGGTGGACCTGCTCACGAACCTGCCCCCGTACCCGTGGATGCACGACAATAAGTACAATGCCTATCCTCGGGTGCAGAGGGAGCGCTGGTTCCGAGACCAGCCCGCTAAGGGGCTTCTGGGTGCACCGACGCCGGTGATGCGGGAGAAGCAGCACGTCTGGCGCGGCTTCATCCGTCTCGATGACGAGCCATGGCTGCGCGGGCATACCGTCGGCGACACGGTCGTCTTCCCCGCCGCCGGTATGATTAGCATGGTGCTTGAGGCGGCGCAGCAGCTGGCCGAGCCTGGAAAGGCCATCCACGCCCTGCGCCTGCGCGACGTATCTGTCATGGCCGCCGTGTCGATTTCCGAGGGAGTGGCCACTGAGGCGGTCGTCCACATGACCCGCGCTGGGTCAGGCCAGGGACCTTGGTGGGAGTTCACCT